GTAAGGAGGAATATGAAATAAAAACCGGTCACCTCGAAGGTCTGATTTTGAGGGTCCTCTGAGCCGCGAGGAGACCTGAGAGGACCTGGCTGCACTTTGAGCACGAATGAAAGTCCAGCATGGGATCATAAATCCAGGGACTGACACGACATTGCATACTCTGGTTTCATGCCAGTATAATTTCATTCATTTCACAAAAACAGGCTGTTCATTTCATAGGCACATACCAATGCAAACTGCAGCAATGTAGTGTTATTTCCAACTTTGCTTTTTCACATTTGTTATGTTTGTTGTAATTCAGGACCAAGTATGCTGTGCTCCTTCTCTAGCCTCTTTCTGTGGCAAACTACAGGGCTGCAGGGATGTAAGAACTCATCTGGGCTCTCAAGACATCTTAATACAGCCACTGTAGACGTATCCTCCACTCCTCGTTGTAGACGTGGGCCACTTTCTGAAGACCTGTTGCAAGCTTTTACATTGAATGTTTGTTGGAGAAAGTTGGTTGTGACAGGAAGGGTGGGATCAGAGCAGAAAGCGCCATGGCTGACAGGGCAGGCTGAAGGGTTCCTTCATTATGCCAGGAGACGATTTATTTTCCCTATATTCCCACCATGGTCAGCCAGCCTGATAGTTCTGGCCTGAATCTCTAACCCTGTTCCACTGAATTGATGCTAGAGATCCTGTTGACTTCAGCTTGGGATGGTCAGTCCTCCAGATGAAGAGAGCAGCACAAGAGTCTCTTGGGGAAACTCTTGCCAGTTATGTTGGAGGATATATTGGTGTTTGGAGTGAGATGACTCACTTTAAACTCAGATTTTGGGTAAAGCAGCTGTTTTCCTGGCCAACTCATATCTGACTCATTTACCACTGATGAATAAAGGATAAAATGCTCCTGGCTAAGGCCCATCTTAAGTATTTCTCTTTCTTTCTTCTCTCTTTCTTTTCTTCAAGTGACAGTGCTGATTATTTTTTATCTGATTTTCTCTGGCAGGCTTAATGAAGAAAACTGTGAAAAACTGCTACACTTTTGTTGTTTTATTTTACCAAAGAACAGCTCTGCATTTTAAGGTCCAATTGAAACTTGATTATAGACTTCAGAAGAAAACAGATATATAAAAAAGAGTTTGTGGATAGGAAAGAAAACATGCATGATGCTAACAGAGATTTAAATAGAGATGCAATTAAAGGAACAGGCATGCCCTATAAAACATTTCTAACTACCGTAACTTTTGTGTGTTGATAACTCCTTATTCCCTGTGTGACATACGGATTTAGCTGATTAGAATTTTGCTTTGTCCAGACATCTGTTTCAGAAATCATGTGATGAAAATATTCAGTACAGTGCTGTCCCTGATACATGAGAGCTTCTGTATGTTTCTTCTTAAAATGGAAAAATAGAAGGGTGCGGAGGGATATCTCTTGCACTTACTGTTTTTACAGTAAACAGTGAATTTTGAGAATGACATTTATCAGAATTTGACTTTATGGCCCTGGTTCAGCCAGGCATAGATTTTACTCAAATGGAAATGAAAACAAAGTATAATTTTTAGATATTAGTGTGACAGAGCTACCAGTTGCAGTTTCAATCACCTTGCATTATATTGCACACATTATATTACTCTATACCAGAGCAACTGGTTGAACCTTGGGGAACAGCTAGGATCTGAAGTCACAACCAGGCTCAGTTGCTAAAGAGCAAGGTCAGGCTTCCCCAGGTCACACTGCAGCCTTAGCTTGCCCAGCTTCCTCTCATCCCCCATGTAGGGGGCGTGAATAAGGAAGAGAATCAGGAGCAGAGGAGTTTGAGTTGGCCTCACCCTGATGGGTTCCTAGATCTCAACAGCTGTATCTGACCCATCCCATGTAAAAGCTTTCAGGATACCTACCCAGGCATAAAGTTCTCAAAGGTTTTTTTAAACCAGCTTACACCTTTGGTACTCAGGTAGTGAATCCCACAGCCTCATCAAGCATTGCTCAAAACTTATTAACCAACAAATCCACTGGGTAATCCCTAGTTCTTGCACTATGTGAAATAAAAGCAGCTCTGCTCTTACTCATAGTCTCTGCCCCATTTCTGGTTTTAAAAGCTTCATCTGTCTCAAGACTCTGTATTCCTCCTGGTATGAAAATAATTTGTTACCCCTGATGATTCTTGCCCCTTTCTGTGCCTTTTGTAATTTTCTTTGAGATGGAGTAAGAACTGCTTGCAGGACTCTAGCTGTTGGGCACGCTGTCTTAACATTGATGATTTTTTCCTTGTTTCTGTTGCTCTCTGCTCTTCTACCATTAACTTCAAGCTCTCAGTCATAGCCATCACCGCATAAAAATAATTAAAGTTGTCTTCCCTCCTGTTTTGCGCATTGTGTTTATTTACCTTCTTTTCCATTCAAAAATGGTGTTAGGGGCTTTAGAACTGACCAGTATCAGTAATTTGTCATCATCAACAAACATTATCACCTAGAAATACTGGTAGTCTTTTGAGATGCTCTGGAGAATCCCTCCATAGTGAAAAATCACAAATACTATTATCTGTTTCCTACCTTTGATGTACTATCTACCTATGAGAGGACCTTCTCTCATAACCTATGTTCCTCAAAACGTTTGGATAAAATTGTTGGAAGATCTTTGTGCAGAGATATCACTTGATCCCTCTTTCTTCATTTCCTTCAGAAAATTCTAAGAAATTTATAAGGCTTGTTTTCTTTCTAAGTATTAAGACCTAACTCTTACCCAAATTACTGTTACCTAAATGCCTAGTAATCGCTGATTAAAACTGATTTTGATTTCCCCATACCAGCTTACTGTATCTCCTGCAGTTTCCAGAAGGGGAATTGCATTTCTTACCTTCTCTACCTCTTGTGTGGATACAAAGTAAAGCAGTAGAATATGCTCAGTAATTATTTCTTTAGGAATATCATAATTGCATTCCCCTAAAACACAGTGGACAAATATAATCTGCTTTTAGCAATTTGGCAGTGTTTAATATATCATTTTGTTCTAGTGCTGATTCAGTTTAAGATAGTTCATCTGCAAATAATAAAGTTTCCCTGACACTTCTCTAGTGAACACAGATATAAGTAGTTCATTTTTTTTGTGGTCTTCCTTACTTGATGCTCCTTTTATGCTTTGATCATTTCTTCTGATGTGTTTGAAAGATCTTTTTATTATTAGTTTTTATGCCTTTAACATGTTGCTCTTCAGACTCTCCTTTGGCCTGCCTCATAAAGGGTTTGCATTTATCTTGCCAGAGTTTATAGTTTATTTAAATTGGCCTATTTGGACATTACTTCCTCTTTACAGAGTATAAGTGTCGTTACCTTATTCTGCTCTTAAACTGTGGTCAGTTTTACTTTTAGTTCCCATTTCTTTGACCCATACAAAGTCTATTTTTACTAGGATGTATACTTAGGATCTCTTATATGATGCCTTTAGACAGACACTCTCTGAATCATCTCCATAGTACAGAAATATACCTCTGTTTCCCTGGCGCTCTGCTATCAGAGGATCACTTTCCAATTACACTGATCTTCCCTAAAACAGCTGAGTTAAGTTAGGAATAGATTATGGCATAGAACAGCCATACCATGCCAGAAAATCTATCTTTTGTTAGCAGTTTCTGTGACTTGGAAACATACCTTGAATTTTTAATTTTATGTGTGTGATGATGTAACTATGAGGAATTTCTGTAACTCTGAAAAATAAGGTAAGAAAGAGAAATATTTACCTTTTTGGGTTATGCACAGGGTTTATCTTCATTCTTAAATATTAACAGTTTTTAAAGTGTAGATATGAAGGATTTTAAAAAATATTCTCACAGTTAATATGGTTGCCATTTACTCTCAACTGCCGCAGGAAAATACTTAAAATGCCACACATTTTGCCAGATTTTATCCATATGGTAGGATTTCTGCCTTATCCATTTCTTTTGTTTTAAGTTTTAAACAGTATAATTTTGTTTAACATTAACTTCAGAGACTACTCCAGTCTGCCATAGTGTGAATTGTGCATCTAGAGAATAATAGGTGAGCACTCTCTCCAGCACAACAAATTAAGTGGAGCAAAGAGGGCTTTGCTCCTAGGAACTTGCAGTTCAAATGAGCCACAGTGAAGCCTTAATGAAGAATCACAGCTGTGGTTCTACAGTCATTACAGTCCCAACTGATGTCTTTCTAAATCTGCTGACTGCACAGAATCGATCCGGATCAGACCTTAGCTCACAGCTGCACCTTTGAGGAACTAGTTAGAGCATATGATACAGCATGGGGCTTTTTGCCTGTTTTATGTTTTTGTGCCAACTTCTTGTCAGCTACAGGAAGAGTGACTGAACTCTATGTAACTAACAGTGACATAACTGAAGTAACATAAATTTGGCATGTTAGACTCTGTCCCCTTGATTTTTACTGGGTTTTTTTGAGAACTTCTGATTTCATCAGAATGGCTATATATTGATTCACTGCTCAGGGCTACGGGGACTAAAATATTTTTCTCTCTGTACTAAGAGCCCCAAAACTTTACTGGCTTTCACACAAAACTCTGACATAAGCCGTTATCCCATAAAAATGTATGCTTTTAATGATAAGCCTTTGGATAGATTCAGTGGCTTCCCTGACACGAATAAAATGAAGTTAAAGCATACACCTAAGTATTCAAGAGGAGACTGAAGAAGGCTCTTAGAGTTGCCACACTGAGAAACAACAGCTGGATTCACTAGGGCACCCTAACCTCCTCTCTTTCTCCAAAAAACACCTTACATTTGCCACTTGCATTAAAAAAATTAAAATCTAATGGTGCTTAGGCTCTGGCTGATGCAGAATATTGGCATATTGTTGGAATATACTGGAATATATTAGAATATGGCACTTGGGGTCAGTCCTGGCCCTCAGAAGTGCCCTCATCAATGAAAAATTGCCCAGGACTAAACCCCTGAATAACACCATCTCTCAGTTGTACTAGGGTCATGAGAATATCAGTCCCAGAAGCCAAGCACATGTGAACAGACTGATCCACATACTGATTCCCTAGATCCTTATAAATAATCCAGACCCTCACTTTTACTCCAGAGGATTTCCAGAGCTCTGCTCCTCCCTGCTCTGCCAGTCTCTAGTTGAAATCTATTGACAGCTATGTCTTCTCATTTGCTTACTCACAGCCCAACCTAAAAACTGAACTGTTATCTGCTTCCAAACTATCCTCTTTCCAGATAGCCCCATGAGGTCCTGGCTGTTTAAATGCACGTTTGCATTATGCCAGAGGACATGCAGGTCTTCCAAAAGTGGCTGGAGAAAGTGGAAATGTGTGATCAGCACAACAGCAACATACACCATCAGTATGAATTCCCCACATGGTGCATGATCCTTTATCAAACCTGAGGACATCAGCAGCAGGCTGGGCTCTATCCCACCCTCGCTGCCACTGTGTGGTCTCTGCTGCAAGCCAGAAGAATGCAAGAGGGGTAAAAAGAAATGCAAAAGGGCTTCACTTTGCCTCTCAAGAAAGAGGGAACTGCAGTGGTTACTGTACATAGGAAATATTCTCCACCATGTGGTGGAGGAACAAAACATTTGAGATTTATAGATTAATAATCTTTTAGGGTCAATAATCCTTTGGAAATGATTAGTCTGAAAAACATCTTATTTTTCATGTATCATTCATGTGACATATTTTTCAACATCCTATCTCTGATCATTCTAAATCATAAAGGAATAACCTCTATAAAATCATTTAAAGGCACACTCCTGTATTTTTCATTGGGAAAGACTTTAATAAACTCCAGATACATTTAAACTTCTCTGATTTCCTTGCTGAATAAATTACCAAAGCCCATGCAAGCCCCATTAATTACTTTTCTTTTTTTTCCATGAGATTTCAGGAGTTTGTGCTTTTTGAGGGATGTTTTACTGAAGCCAGTTATTATACTGGCTTACAAGATTTATCTGGTAAATGTCTCATTTATTAATTTGCATTTATTTTTTACTCTACCCTCATTTCAAAGTTGCTTGAAGGGACTATTTTTAAGGAGGTCTTAAGTTCATTTGTCATATAGTATTCTGCCAGACTGAGATGAAAAATGGTTCATGTTGAAATTCTTATGCCCTTCAATAGTAACATCTCACTGTGATCTCAGGAGCTTCCCATTTTATAATTGCCAGGATAATCCTCTTGTGTGATAGCTTGTCAGATACGGAATTATGACACTTCATGCCAGCTCAGTGTATGTCCCCATCATTTTCCAATTGATTATTTTAAAGAGCTCGCCTTACCTAACCTGATTATTTCCAAGAGGCTTTCAAATAAAAGACAACTGTATGATCTTTTTTAATATTGTTAGTAGATACCTTCTCTATGACAGTGACCTTGCTGATTGAGCTCAGAATTTGGTCCCAGAAATTGCAGGCAGACAGGCAATGCATTTCTGAAATCTCAGAATCAAAAATCAGAAGACTGAAGAAGAACCCCACAAGAAACATTGCTAACTACTAGGCTACTAGTAAACTATTTTGCTTTAACTTTTTGCCCACTTGAGAAAAATAAATGCATGTATTTTTAGTTGCAAAAACTTGTAAAATAAAAGTATCATCACAGCTATTTTTTCATGAAATTATTTGACTCTGTTGACACAAAGCATGTACATTTCTGGACAAAAAGTTATAAAATATTCTGACATATTTTAATATAAACAGGAACATTTTCAGTGATTGCTTGGATCTAAAATGTTTTTCCACTTGACATTTGTTTATACTTCCTAGGAAAGAAACTCTATTTATGGATAACTGAATAACACAAATAAACATCAGAGAGAGCTGAAAAATCAGCTTTGATTATGCATGAAAATCTACAATGTCATTGTGTACTCTTGTGCCGTATTCTGATTGCCTGTTTATTTTTACAGAGCTGCTGGCGAGCCCATGGAAGAAGAGCCAGCCTTGTGAAGTGCCAAGTCCTCCCTGATATTTCCTGTGGGTGACATCATTGTGTATCCCCCCAAAGCACCCTCAGACATGTCTTGTCTGCTGCTTGGGTGGCACAGATCAGATGGAACATAAACACTGGGCACAAAACTCTGAATAGCAGCTTCACTTGTTCTTTGGATGGACTTGAAAGGGCCCTAAAGATTCCTTAAATGTAACCGCTACAATTCTAGAGTTACAGTAAAATGGGCTTGGGAGAAAGAGCCTAGAGCATGCTTTTTATATGCTGTTTGACCCACTCACCAACATAAATTGTGAAATAGGGTATTACAAAATTCTACATGATAGATTATAGATAGGAGAATTAAAACAGCCAGCAAAATGCTCAGTAAACTCCATGAATCAGTTTCCGACAATTTTTACTGGGTAATTTTTTTCATACTGTGTTAAATTGTTAATAGAATTTGTTTTCTTCACTCTGTGTAATGAAAAAAAAAGACACCTTTATTTTATCTGCATTTTTTAGCCCCCTGTCATGAGTTCTTAGCTGAATAAGTGAAAGGTGTGTAAATTACGATGAGGGATTTTAGCTAAAGGGAAAGCACTTCTTATTGTACTATAAATCCCCCAAAGTACTGTGCTTGTTGGTGCTTTACTTTCTTTTCCCTTCTCCCGGGCATCCCTCCCCATTTCATGTAATCTTTTCTATTGTAAAAACACATTCTAAAATGAGCGATCTTCTGCCTTTAAAAAAAAAGTGAGGTTCCCTCCGTAGTTGACAGTAGCTCTCACCATATGTGCAGCAGAGATCAAGTGTGGATGGCTTTTCAAATGTGTTTTTACTTTGTTCTGAAATGTTTCTGCATCTTGACTCTAAGAGCAGCGATCTTCAGGAACTGCGTGCAGTTCATTTGAAGCTCAGGTGTTTCTGTGGAGGTTGTGTTGGGAGTGTTTTTTACAGGTCGTCATGTGAATACGAACTGATTCTTTTATGTAGTCCTGCACCAAGAGAACTGATGTTGCTTAAAAAGCTTCAAAGGGTTTAGGCTTTATTTTAGCTCCCCAAAGTGCAGCAAGATCTCCCTGCAATGTGACTTTAGCTGTTTAATTCCATGTTTGAGAACGTAACATATAGTTGTGCCTTTAGCTGATAATGAACGCTTAAACTGTTACACGTGTTGCCTTACCGTCAGAGAAAGAGATAGGGCATGTATGTAAGACTACTTCAAATGAACAAAACTCTGCTACAGCAACTTTTATTTTGTTTACAACTTTCTCACCTAATGAACCCTGGTAGATACCTTGAAGTATTCAGCTTACAGTATTTGATAGCTCGCTCAGCTTTTAAAAACAAGTGATGTTCATTTTTATATATTTTCCAAACTCAAAGGATATATTAAAGCCATAAGTGAAAACTGTCATGCTTTTTATTCTGAAATCTGAAAGGAACCTTAATTAAAGCAAGATTTTGGGGAAGGCCATGATATGAAAGATATGGAACAATATGGTTTCAGTTATAGGCAGACTCAAACCTGTAAATCAAAGATGAAAGATTTCACTCAAATAGAATTATATAATTCTCTTTTGTTATGCAGTCAGACTATATCTTTCATGCATTTGGGTTTGTTTACGATTAGCATTTTAATTTTAAAGACTTTTATTACTTATACAAAAGCTCTCTGCTACAAGTTAGAAATCTGAGGCATGCTTTGAAAAGGGAAATCTAAAAAAAGAATGTCATTTCCTATAACGTGAAGTAAACTTTTATTCTGAAAGGCTTACTCTAAAATGGATGTATGCCTCTCCGAAAGTGAAATAAAATTCTACCCCCCATTTACAAGCCAAAATCATGCTCATTTTAGTAATACAAAGAGTCCCAGCAGGCTAAATTAACTCCTGGTGTAAGCCACCTTGCCTGACTTTGGGCTGTTCTGAAGGGGTTGTTCACATGACTAAAGCAATCAGGAGTTCATCCTGCATTTTCAGCAGACTTGTGATGGCAATCTTACTTGCCATTTACTGCAATTTTCTTGTGGTCATCAAAGAAATTTCCCTTCAAGGAAATCAAGGACCATAGCTGATGAGTTGGGTGATTTGTGGAGCTTTTCACATCTTGAAATAGTGGCTGCAAAATTTTAATTAGGTACATAGTAAGAGCATTTTGAAATTAACCCCACAAATGCAAAATCTGCTTGTGTCCTTAGCTCACATGTAACAGAATATGAATTGCAGCCTGAAATGTGAGTTACAAACCTTACCAATTAAAGTCTATATTCTGGAGTGGAAATCAGCTAAAGCTGTCCTTTGTAGCTGGAAATGCCTTTAAAATGCCAGAATAATTTGAATTAAACCACATTATAAACTCACACTTAGGCATTTGTACAGGCATACTCCGAGACAGACATCCAGACATGCTATTGGTTAAAGTTAGGATCATTTGGATAAGCAAATGTGCAAATAAACTGCACACAGATTGTGTCCAGAAGTCTGTTCTCACTGCAGTCAATAGCAAAATCCTCTTTGATTTCAATGGGAGATGGATCAGGCCTTGCTTTTTTTTCGTTTCTTTCCTTTAAGTCCAGAACACCATTACTTTTTGATTATGTCATTACAAGGCACCGTACAGCCCTCTGGGAAATGATTGAGGCTTATGGCGAATATCAACACTTCCTTCAAAGCAGACCTGGACTTTCTGAGAGGGCAGTTTCACTTGCTGCTGTTTTCTTCTCACAGTATTTTTATTGCCATCAATAGCTCCCCATGGATTACAGTTAAAATATCTCCCAGCAATTTTAGACATACTTCCAGGGAAATATTCACATAGACGCTCTTAAAAGTGCCCAGTTTTAGCTGGATTCAACAACAAATTCCAAGAATTTCAGAAAGATGCATGAATTACATGTTTCTCCATTTGTAATGTCCAAACTCAGAGGCTTAGGAGCTGTTTTTGAGGAGACATCACAGTCTCATGTCCCTCATGGACCTCAGTTTAGGCTAGGGAGATTGACACCTCTGAAAACTCAGTCCCAGATATTTCAAGCTGGCTGCCAAGATATCTACATCTGAGCTTAGGTTACTTTGAAAAATAAGCTGAAATGCATAAATGAGATGGGGTAAATGGTGGTTTCTGTGTGTGATTCCATGGAGAAGTTGAAACTGAGGAGGCGGCAGAAAGCCCTCAGACCCAGGGTGATCTTTTGCCTGGTGCTGGGGACACAGGGGCTGTCAGCAGGCAGAAGGACACCCCAAGGCACTGCCACTCCAGGCTTCCATTGCCATTAGCAATGAATCTTTGCCTTATGGTGAAAGCGTGCATGAATTTGCATTTTGCCTCTGGATCAAGGTGTCCTTAAGCCACCACCTCAAAAATGAGACATGCCTCAGCAGCAAATACCACTAACATGTTCGCTCAGTTCATGTTTTTCCCTAGCTTAAGGGACTAAATGTTAAGCTCAGTTGCGTTTTTCTTGTATTTTTGTATTTTTCTTGTATTCTTGTATTTTCCTTGTATTCTTACGTTATTAATTATTAACTAAATTATTAGTAGAAACTGACAACTAGAAAGACATATGACTCAGGATATCAAGAAAAGAATGATTTTTATCCAGCTTAAAGCTTTTACCTGGACTGGAGCAGGAACAATGAGGAACAGTAAATCTCAGAACTGCTAAAACCAGAAGCATCTTGCACTTCATTTTGGGACTCTGCGTGCAGGAATTCTGTATGTTCTCATTCAGCTTTAATATAATCTACAGCAATGAAGTGCTTGATTATATGATCCTTTTTCAGGCAAAATTCCTCATGAGTAATCAAAGTTCATGAGAATTTTGCCAGTGTAAAGATGACAGAATTAGCCCCTGTTTTAATTATGTACCTTCCTAATTTTGCTTTCAGTGAAAATGAAGTAATTTCAGGCAATGAAAATAAAATCATTAAGCTATCTTAAGTAAACATCACTACAGCAAAAGAAAATATAAACAGCTGTTATGTAAACAAAGATGGCTATTTCTTTGCTTTGCAAAAAAGTCAACAACATGCTGCCAGCTGAACAAAAGTGGCAAAACGAATCCCTCTCTAGGGTATGTGGTATTCGAGTTGGTGTCTTATCTAAGTGCAGCCTCCCTAAAAAGCTGAGATTCATAACCAGAGATGAAATATTAGAAAGGTTTTGCTATAGCCAACACCAGAGGTCCTGTAGAGAAAAGAATGTAGAAACTGACTAATTTGTGTAGACAGACAGCAGGACACTTTCAGGGCAATGTGTCTGGGACAAAGAATTAGAGGGAACTTTTCCAAAAGCATGGATGGCTGTGAGGCAACTAACTTCTATTAGCTTGCAGGGGCAAGGAGGTGCTCAGTGAGCATTTATTCTTTGGGAAATGCCTCTCCATCTCACAAGCATACAGACATGGACCTCACTGTACAATTTTTCATCCTCAGCAGCAGCAGCCAGGTGTGCTGCCCTGACATGCATGCTCTGCATTTGCCCAAGAAGCTATCAGCCCCCAGCAGACACTTTATAACAAGACTGATAGGAGAAATTTTTATAATATCCTTTTTTTTCCCAATAGTGGCCTTTCCAGAAGCATAGCAGTGCATGGTTGTTTTATTTTAAAAGGTCACAATAGAGCTTTGTGAACCATTGTACTTTTTTTTTTTGCTTTTTTACAGACTCCATATGGAAGTAAACCAGAATATGTACGGGCAGGGGGGAGACCAGCTGGGTAAGAATTTCTTTTAAATCAGGTTTCTGCTACCTGCTTTTCATCCCAGATTTGGAGGAGTTCAGGTTCTTAATTATCATTCAACCTTTTACTTTGTCATATAAACAACTCGCTTTTTTTTCTTACCTATAATTGAATTCACTCTTGTAGCACATAGAATACCACAAAAAAAAGTCTGTCATTTCTGACAGATGTCTCTGCCCTTGGTGTGGGAATGAGAAGAGCTTATCTTTGTCACTTCTAGCAGCAACTAAATGCTTCATTTTTGTGACAGATCCAAACTGGAGTGGTATTGTATGCGTACGATTTAGCTTGGCTGTCTGCTGATGGTTAAAAAAAGAAATTGTGAAACTCGCATTCCTCTCTAACCTCAAAAGGGACCCATTTTGATTTTAACAATGTAATATTTTCACTTGATCCAAAAGGTTTTTGTCCCATGACATCTTGTTACTAGCTCAGTTTTAGTCTCTAGCAAATAGCACACCACAGAGAGCAAAGACCAAAAAGGACATTCCAGCAATTGTTAATTATATCTCTTATGCACAGTCCTTCATCCTGCTGTAGTGCCATGCTCTGTGGTTCAGCTTATTAGAATAGTTTATAGCAAAACATAAATTGTTCTGCACCATCAAAGATACTACTATTCAGATGTTAATTAGTACACTGTGAGTTGTGCTGTAATTTATAAGGAAGACATGCTCCTGCGTGGATGGTCTAAAGGCAAGTGACGCATGAAACCAGTGGCGCTGGTACTGTGCAGTGAG